TGTTGGGGGAATGGTTGTTGCGGTTGTTGGGGGAATGGTTGTTGCGGTTGCAGGGGGAATGGTTGTTGCGGTTGCTGGGGGAATGGCTGTTGCGGTTGCAGGGGGAATGGTTGTTGTGGTTGCTGGGGAATTGGTTGTTGGAGTTCAGAAAATAATTGTTGGGGCTGGGACTGTTTTGCTTCCATGCAGAGTTTTAAGTTTAGGACTAGTTGTTAGCTCGGATCTTGATGCAAAACTTGATGGCCTGGATACAGGGGTAGAAAAATTCATGGAGTGAGGATAGTGAGCTAGCTAGCACGCCATGATAGAAAAATTGATTGGAAAAAGGAGCATCAAAGCCCCGTCCCCTGCATCCAAAGGATCCACACAACCATCTTTATTAAATTATTCAATAAAGGTTTGGCAAAAACATAAATCAAACAATCCGAAGCCAATGCCAGACCTACAAACTCGACGATGGGTGATGCCATCACAACGCCCCACCAGCTAAACCCAGGGTCATCACCGAGACACCCGCATGGTGTACCAGGAGTTTGCATCTTGTCTAGCAGAGACCCTAAGCATGAACCGCTTGCACAAGCTCCAGAAGCCGCCAACACCATTGAACTGTCGATCCATGTTCATGAAAGAAATCCGAATTGTCCTTGCCAGGCCAGCCATCGACACCGCCACAGCGATAAACAACACCATTCCCTTGCACTAGTCCATCATAACACATCCGTTGCCGAGACTCCGTTGCGCCATGCTGCTGAGAGCCGCCATCATCGACACGGTAGAAATGATGCATCTCCAGCTGTGGGTCCCTTTAGCCAGCAGTTGCTCCAAAGAAGATGCCTCCAGGAGGGGGGTGTGGCGCTAGACGCTACCATCGTCCATTTCGGAAGACTAAAGGGTTTCCTTCGGAGCAAACAAACCTTACAGTTGAGTCTACGCGGCGGTCCAATGCCGCTACGCCTCCTAGATAACACTGGTAGATCTTAGCTCCAAAACAGTGCCTCTAAGGAGGTAGATGACACTACACGCTGCCACTCTCCGGCCCGACAAGCCAAACATGAGGTTTCCTTCGGAGCTTGACGGGACCACCATCGCGATGATACTCTCCAAGGAGGTTAGCGACGCCCGTAGACGTTGCCGCACCATCCGCGACGACTGATCCAGGCAAAGTATTTCTCTTGGTGGTAGTCTCGCGAACCAGGAGATCTGGAGTCATAGGCGCTCGTCGGAGATGCCCACCAACGTAGAAGAAAAGACCTTGTTAGGCTACAAATCCGGGCACACGACCCAAATCTATCCAACTGCACCACCGCCTCCCAGCACAGCAACCATTGGGCCCGTGCGTCCCCGCCGACGGAACCTAGCGCCCCCACGAGCGGCTAACCCGAGGAGGGAGGAGATGGAGCCCCACCGCTGCCAGCGCCGCATGGGCTTCGCCCAACAGATGCCTCAACAGAAGGTTTTACTGGAATTTCTTTATTTCTTGGATATCTTATCCAGGTCGATCTCACTTGTGGAACCGAGGATCAACCTTTGTGGGCACCTTCTCCGTCAAGAGAATTTTTGACCAGATCAGCCGCCCATCGTCATTTCTTTGTGGGGCTGTTAAATTCAAGACATGTTAGGAAATTTGGAGTGCTTTGAGTTCTACCTCATTGCAGATTATTTATTTGGTTGGCCTTACTAAATCAATGTGGGACTGTTGTGCTGACCGTTTGGCCCGTCGTGGTCTTGATCACCCGTAGAGATGCCCGCTTTGTGATCGAGAGGATGAAAATGGGCAGCGTTTGCTTACTACATGTGTGTTCTCAGGAGGGGTTTGGTTATTGCTCTTGTCTTTGGTTGGTTTGCAGCAGCAAACACCAGGGCCTAATAATCTCATTTTCATTGAGTGGTGGCGCCAAGCATTGCAGAAAATTGATAAGCAATGCCGCAAGGGTTTCAGTTTATTAGTTGTGT